AAACGACAGCTAAGGCAGTGTGCACACACACACACACACACACACACACACACACACACACACACACACATTATTATTGAATTAGCTCTGGGTGGGTGGTGAGGTGACAAAGAGGGACTCTGATTCAAAGAGAGCAGAGAATGAGATGACTGCATAAATTCAATTGATCTGCTTTGTCTTGGCAGCAAGTACATCTTAGAGTAGAAACAATTTACACACACATACAGTCAGTACCTAGTTTGTGAGGTGCTGCCCATATTACCCTTTTTTTTTAAACTCAAAGTGCTGAAAATGTTCCCTAGATCAACATTTAGTTGACATCTGGGATTAGTTCATGCCCAGACACTGCCACCTTTCTGGAACAGTGTTGTGAGGATATTATTTGTAAATGATAAAACAGGTAAACTGTTACCATGAAGAGCTGCACCTGGTCTTTCGTGTATGTAAAGGAGTCGTGGCACTGATGCTACAGGCTGCTTAGTAATACTCAGTAGGTAACCCTGATCTCTACTTGACCTTAAAATACCTAATATATATCATCTATTTAATTTTTTGAATTTACTGCCAAAATCTAAATAGCCAAAAATAAATAGCATAATTTCTAAATTCAAATTTGGACATTTAATTTGATTTTTTTTTTTATAGAATAGAATGAATATTAGCAATCCTTCACTTCCATAGCAGCACTTAAGAAACACTCCAGTAACTGTCCAGTTTTGGTGACCACGAGATAATAAGCAGAATAACTTTGTTCTTCTCTTTTGCTGTGGTTTCCCCTCCATTCTACACTGTAAACAATAGTTGTACTGAGTTATTTTTTGCACACAAAGCTGCAACAAATGCCATTATTCTACTTAGATCTATTATCTGTGAGACATTTTTGCTAACATGACTGACTTACTGCTGTTGCAAAAACATAAAAAATGTTATGTTTTTGTTGCATCATTCTTGCTAATGTTTGGACAGAACAGTCAGATTAAATCCCAGGAGGGTGGCCGCTGCTGGAGCCGTCATGTCTGGCAGCATCAATCATCAAAAGCAGCTCAAAGTTGCTTAAACAGATACGCTCTCTGGGGAAGTGGATTGTTTGCAAAAACAGGTGGGTGTATCAAAAAAGTCAATACTGACTCTCTCTCTCTCTTCTCTTCTCTCCAGCACTGTTGATATGCACTAGTCCCTCTCTTACAATCTCTCTCACACACACACAGTGACACTGTCTCTGAGGGACTGTGGGCAGCACGCCCTTCAGCTGTTGCTGGCCACTGAACCAAGATATTCCCTGTTACGCTGTGAGTGGGGAGGGAGGAGGAGAAGCAGCAGGATACTATCTCTCTCTCTCTCCTCTCCTCTCCTCCCCTCCCTTCACATCTCCCTCCCGGAGGGGAGACATCATCAGAGGGCCTGCGGAGACTGTCCAGTCTCCAGCCAGTGGGACAGGACTGAGATTAGCAGTTAGCTGTGAGGTCTAATTAGTTCCTTGTGATAGGTAGCACTGCTGTGGTTATTCATAAAGTGCTCTCCGTCAGTCACTGACACAAATACACATAATCTGGATTTGAAATAATGTTTTATAATCAACAGTTTGACATTGAGCTGGCTGACAAAGTGACTCAAAATAGTGAACACACAAACATACACAACACATACATAACAAAGTTATATAAGGCACTGAAAAATCTGTTTCTTACTATGAGTGGTCCTACATGAACACAAACTTTTCTGCCAACTTTAGTTGTTTTGGTTATTTCACATGAGAGATTTCTGTATTTTTTGTTTGTGCTCTTTTACTGGTTTTAAAGTGGACAAAGTTTAGCTGGAAAATCTGATGTCACATACTACAGCGCATCAGGATTTTAACATATTTGAACCACTGTCAATCAAATGATGACAAGACCACACCCACAAACTCCTTTTTTGAATTTAGTGGTCATTTTCCGCGAATAACAAACTCCTTGGAATTTTATCAGATTTATCAAATGGACTTTTAATTTGGCCAGTGCAATCTAAAGACATTCACAATTAAAAGTTGTGCTATTTGCCAATGTGCGTTGAACGGCGTGTCCGTGGCTTGGGGCCGAATTTCGATGCATCACCATGAAACAGTAAGTTGTCATAACTTCAATGTACTCTGTCCAATCTCAATGAAACATTACATATATGATAAAAGCGGCCACAGCCCACGTTTTGTGTTAAATTCTTAATACCTAATTCTTCCCAACAAACCCCTTTTACTGCTTCTTTGTCTTCTCTGCTTCTCTGAGAACTTGTTCCCACCCTGTGTGTCATTTCCTGGGTTCCCCCGCTATGACACATCCTGGTTTACACACACACATATATTTTTATTTGTTTATTTTTACAGGAACAGTGCACAATTAAAAGTAATGGCACCACCACACCAGTTCCTATTTGACACAGAGTTCATCTCACCCACCGATGTCGACCCCCTTTCCTTCCTCTGCCCCATCGTTCTTATTTACATTGTGAGTGGGATTGGGTTTGTTAGTCAACATGAAGTAACAATATATCTGACAGGACCCAAAGTGAATGTATGGAAGGGTCTGGCAGTAAGTAGCAGTATTTTTGTCTGGTTTGCCTTGCTGCAGCTGCATCTCTGTCTAACCTCCATAGGAATACTTTGCTCCGGGCTATTTTCTAAACAGCATTTTCCCTTGTGTACTTTTTTTTTACATAGTCCTTTATATTGGCCGAACTGGACTAATGTGATCTTTCTGATTTCATTCTCAGAGGGAGCAGCAGGCCGGCGAGCTCAGCCCTAACCCCCACTTTAGTGAGTTTCCGACCTGACGCGGTGCAGCGGCCCTGACGAGACTGACAAAAAGGGTTGAAGAGGGTAGTGCACGCGTGTCTATGTGTGTATGTATGTGTGTGCAAGTCTTAAGAGAGAGGCTGACGGAGAGAGAAGCTGAAAGAGAGACACGCTGGCCTGCCCTCTGTTAGATTAATGTCTCCCCCTCTTCTTCTCCTCCATCTCAAGCACCACCTCCCTCCATCCTGCACGACCTTCCCTCCTCCAAGAGAGAGGCCATCCATCCATTCTTTCACCCATACATCCATCCGCCCATCTGGCTGACTGATGCACAGGAGGGGAATGAGACTGTCAAGATCCCTGAACCTCAGCAGAGTCATTCTCTCTCTCTCTGTCTCTCTCCCTTCCTCCCTCCCTAGCCATTAGAAGTGTTTGAAGGACTGATAGTAAGGACAGCATATCTCTATAGTTAATATTAATGTGTGGAGACAGAGGACAAGGTCTCCCTGTAGAGAGCTATACTTTGACACATGCTCAGTGATTCTCTACCTATCCCTCTAACTCTGTTACAGTCTGTCTTTGTCTCTCCCTCCCATCTTCCCTCCATGTCTTTTTCACATCCTTGATTCCTCTCACCTTCTCTTTCTTTTCTCTCTATCTCTTGTTTCTTCTTTTCTACACCTTTTCCCTTCGACTCACTACCTTGCTATCTATCTCTGGTTGTTTCTTATTATCCCTCTCTATCTTTCAGTGTAGAGTTTGAAGCATCGGGAAGGGGAATGAGACATGAGAAATGAGGGTTATAAAAAGAGGGATGAGAGATTGGACTGGTGAGGGATGAGTTTGGCTGCATGCAATATGGCTGCCACGTGGGAGGCAACTGGTTACTGTGTCCTGCCTGTCTAATCCCTGTACTGTTGAATTACTGCTGGGTACGCGCACACACACTCACACACACAGTGTCAGTGACATGCAGCTCCTGTCGAGGTGTAAATCTCAGACTTACCACGTCAGCCACTAAAGCCAGGTGCAGAACACCAAGCTTCATATAGTGTCTAAACCAGACTACATTTACAATCAGTCTGAGCAGAGTGAAACAGCTCGCACTGCGTATACATACGACACACACAAGATCAAATGTTAACGCTGTATCCTGTTAGAAAAATAAGGCTGTTTTACTCCAGCTGCAAAGAAATCTCACATGCACAGACGACTGAGCTGAGCACCTTCTAATGCAAGTTGCTGGGATTTAATGGGACATTATTAACACAAATGGTGGCAAAATGGCCTGTGAGGCTGTCCTCCAACCAGAGCTCTAAGTAACCTGGGGTATGTGGGTGTTATATTTCTTGCCCAAGGATACTGTGACAGGTATGGCCAGTGGGGGAATCGTACCTCCTAGGACAATACCTGTCAAAGGATCCTTGAGTAAGAAATTTTAATAAGATTGGACACGTTCCCTTGAACTGCATGCATAGTCGCTCTGCTACAGAATTCATCTTCTGTCCACAGAGTGTCTTCTATCTGAGAGCCATCAGAGATTTAAAAAAAAAAATACAAAAACCGGACATAGAGGAATGATTGCAGTCGGACAGCAAAGCCTGCATAGATACGGTCGGTCAACTACAAAAGCAGCCATGTAAGAAGGAAGATGAATAATCTGGCAGCATAATATGAAACCAGTGTTGTCGCTGTTTGCAGAGAGGCAGACAATGGGATAGCCATGTTCTCTCATCTACTGAGGCCTTGTTCTCAGGGTTTCAATTAGGGTCTCTTGATTTCCCCAGGGGCCTCTCCCTCTCATGGAGATGCCTCATTAACAGAGGAAACATACATACACACACATACACACACAGAAATGTTGAATGCAGGCGCACACATACACACGGACACACTTGCTTCTGAGCTCACCCCTGACTTCTCATCAAAGATCTTGATCCCGCCAAAGGAAATGGTCAGAAACACCTTCTGTTTGTGTTCTCCTTTTGACCGTGCTGCTGCAGCTATACCCTGAGGAAAGAAAAGAAACACACACACAGACACAGAACCATGTTAGAAGCAGGACAGAAACATGTGCCGTGTAATGGGAATGTAAGTTCATAAAGAGTGTTTGTATCAATAAGTGTCTGTGAGATTATTGATACACCCACAGTGGCCACAATAGTGTATAAGTCTTTTTGATTCTTGCTTATGAAGAATATTACCAACCATGACTTTGACATAACTTAATGAATTACTGATGGACAATAATTTATCCACACCCAATACCTGGTAAACCAAACAAGACTAAAGTACATTAAAGAATATATATTTGAATTATGGCAGTGAAAGAACATTTCCATTGTGGGAAATGTAGGAAATCAATAATAACTAAAAAAAGTAGACATGGCAGGTACAGCAAAACAATTCATGACAACATGCTTAAATTTACTGAACAAGTCATGGCATACGGTTGATTTATAACTCTACATGTGTATATAAGGGTAGAATTCCCCTTTACGTTCACCCCACCTCCATCTGCATAGGTGCGTCACAAAACGAGAGGAGAGGAGCGAGATCAGAGAATTGAGGGAGTTGGGCTAGGAGCAGGAGGAGCAGTATGAAAGAAGAGGTGGAGAGATCAGAGAAAAAGAGTTGATGGATTTCCTGTCTAAATAAATAAGGAGGAGGGAAGCTGTTTGATCAATGAGCTGTCTATCCTCTCCTCGCCCTCCTATGCCTCGGCTGGATGGAGATTTCACTACACAAACAAAACGTAAATGCAATTTTCTCAATTTAAATATCTCCTGCAGTATGTGGATCCCATGTGTTAACGGACATTTAATAATAAATAAGGTGCGCCCTTTCAGCAGACATTTGTGGAAAAGCAACCAAAATCTAGGCTTTTTATATAGTTTCAAACATTTTCAAGTGTGACATCATTTAGGCATGCGCTTTTCATATGCATGCTGCAGTGAAATATTCACTAAATCAGCTTGTTCATTAGGCCTCTATTTCTAAATGAATAAATAAATGGCCTATTTCTCCTTCCATCTTTATCCTCTCTCATCTCTCTCACACCTATCATCCAAATGAGTCCCATCCTATATGCCTTCTCTCCTCTGCTAACTGCCCCATCTGTCTACCCCTACCTCTAATTGTTCCCGTCCTTGCAAATGAGACATTCACCCCGATCCCCTTCTCATCCATATGGCTAACCCTCCTCACTTCCTCCTGTACTGATCATCGTCCTGCCTATAAATTATAACGTCCTCATTTTTTATCTCTCTTCTTCCACCCTTGTCCTTAGGAAATTTGCATAGGAAAAACTGCAACAACATGCAGGCACACAACGTTGCAGCTATGCTGTGATGTACAAAACATGCATATTTAAAAGTTGAACTTTAGAATATGCATGAAGTTGAAGAACTACTTATGGACTGACAACTGTGTTAGCTATTGATGTTCAGTGTTTTTTGTGGGTCATGGAACTTAATGCGGCTGTAGGCAATCACATTACATAATTTCTGTGTGTTAAAGTGTCCACATTTAGTCATTTCTGGCAACCTTAAGAAGCATTAGAAAGTACATTTTTAATTTAAAAAAAACACATCAATAGAAAGAAAAGAGATGAAGGGAGAGTTTCCTTACCTTGAGCTTCATCATCGAGTCCTGGCAGAGTTTGTCTCCACGGGCGGCAGTGACCTCGTCCAGGCCGATGAGCTTGGCCTTGTAGCGGACGCCATCGCCCTTAAAACGCCTGATGAGAGCCGCCTCGCTGCGATCCTGCCCTGCAGACACACACACACACACACACACTCTCTGAAGTCTTACAGTACATCTTCCAGTCAAGGACCTCCATCTACCTCAGACCAGTGCTATTACCTTGAGATCATCAATCACATAGACCACAAAAGACATCAACAGTAATCTTACAAAAAACACAACCATAGCACAGGTCAAAGCTACTGATGTTAGCAACATCGTGTTATGTGATTAAGTCAGAGCATTGAACTGTGGTATCATATGAATGGCACCGGTCAATATACTCAGACACGTGAATCAATGAAGTTTGGCGGGATTAGAGTTAAAGCAGTGACTGCTCTCCTCTGCGGCTATTTCTCCTGTAAAATAATAGTGTGACATTTTGCTCTTATCTCCCCCGTCTCCCTCAGTCCTCCCTCTCTCCTCACCCTCTATTGTGTGTGAGATTGTCGGCATTGTGTCCATGCATTAGTGAGCGTTGTCAATGGCGCACTTGTGTTGACCTTGCTTTTGTCCAGGAAGTCTGTATGTTATCTCCTGTGACTACAACGCTCCTCTTCACATACAATACAGAGCGGAGAGAGAGAATAGCCGCTCATAAGGCTAAACTCACTTTCTTTGTGTCGTGCTCTCTCCATCTTTCTCCCATTCGGTTTCTCTATCTCTGACCTGCAGTGCGCAAACATTTCATCATCAAATATTGTATAGGGGGAAACACTCCTGCATCTGTGTGTGGGTCTCTGTGCATTGCGTTTCTGAGTGTGTATATGTGAGTGAAAGACTGCAAGAGCGATAGTGAGAGGGAGAGGCATAATGATAATGCAGCATATTCAGATAATATATTGAGGCATTAGTTCTGTACTCTATAACAGCATGACTCTTGGAAGGTCATAGTCGGAGTGATGGAGAGGTCCCACTCCTCCTCTCCTTGTTCTTTCACGCTCCCTCCATTCATAGAGCACCCTACAGCATTGCAGTATACTAGAAATGAGCCCTTTAACCACAGGCGAGAGCATCATGTTATATGGCTCTAGTGAATCATCCTTGTCCAACACTAATCTCTCACCTCCCTCAGCTTTGTCTGCTGGTCCACACATGAACACAAACAAACATGCCCGTTTTTAAATGCCTCAGTTGCATCACCTGAATCTTATTTACACTGGATTCTAGAGGTTGGACAATGCTTAAGGATACTTAAGGACACAAAAAGCCTTCTTTTGAACCGAATTCTTCTGCTGGGTTCACCCTTGCATTAATAGCAATGTGCTATGAATGCCTAAATAATAGCATGTTTAAAAAAGTTCAAGGCTGCCAGAGATCATGTTTGTGAAAATTCTTGTCTCCTTGTCCCATATGAAGGAAAAATGAGCACACTGTCTCAGAGAGAAACACACTTCCCTGTGTTTTCCATTGATTAAAAAAGGACAGTAGATGAGCTCATTCTACTGAATCATTGAACAGGCACTTACTCAGTCACAGTCCTACTTGGAGTAAATCATCACTGTCTGCCTCAAAGTCTTCAGAGACAAAAGAGCTGAAGAACATCTGTCCTTATTTTGGATAGAGTGTGAGAGAACAGCTCTCTCTATTGTGTCACGTCTCAGTTGGGATGAGATGAGAGTGAGTGATTAAACCACCGGAGGATTGTTTCTGCTCAACGCAGACACGTTTGAAGACATTTAAATATTGCCTTCATTAAACTTGAATCGGCCCCCTGAAATGTGCATATAGGTGAGTACACACAACAGTCAGCAGCTATGATGACCCCCCACCCACCATCTCTTCCCACTGCGTAAATAACACGAAACACGCCATTGCTGTTGTGTGTTAAAAACACACATATATCTTTCACATCCAAACATGAGCTCCTGTCAGGAAACATAGCATCTTTAAATCTCTCTGACTGCTTGTGAAAACAAACCAGAAAACTTTTTTACAATAATTTTACAAACTAGATGAAGTTTTTGTATAGCAACCAACAAGCATTAAAGGTCCCCTGTGGAGTTTTCTTGTAAACAAACAAAAGTTCTGTTCACTGTTACTGTTTCCTTCCTCATAAAACATGTACAAAGTTGATTTTTTTAATATTTTAAATCGTACATTATTTACATTTGTTTACTTTTTCTTATCTTCTTCTTCCTGGTTTTTGTTAGCGCATTGCTACATTTGTAAGCGTGTTCCCCCCATAAAGTGTTGACCAACAGAATATCATGAAACCAAGGGCAGAATGTAAATCTGCTGGCTGAATGTGTGTGTGTGTGTGTGTGTGTGTGTGTGTGCATCCATGTGCATGTGTACAATACAAACAGTAAGAGTGTATGTATTTAAATGTGCAAGTGTTAAATAACACTGGATGTGTCCAGCTGCCTTTGTCTCTCTGGAACAGCGGTTTTCATTTGAGTTTGACATTTAAGACCTGTTCCCTCCATCTGCATCCATCACCATTACTGTTGCTATACTTAGCACACCCAGGGAGAGAAACACAGAGAGATGGAGAAGTTGAGAAAGGCCAAGAGGCAAAGAAAGAGAGAATAAGGTAGAGGGGGTCCAGGGTTACTTCTCCTGCTGAGTGGTTTATATTATTACCTTTTGGGAGCATGTTCCATGAAAGACCGCCCTGTGAGTGTGTGCATATGTGTGTG